TTAGTGGATATCTTTGAATTTTCTATTTTTTCTGCTATATAGAATTCAGATGATATGATTAAGGTATGTTGAAATTTTTACTATTTAGGTTTTAATGGCTGTGTAGTATATTCCTGTCATCATCCAGTTATGAGCTCTGCAAAATCCAAATAGGTAATGTGATGGTCTTTAGAGGTTTGCTCTTTAAAAGGTATTGGACCACAGAGATACTTCTTCTTTAATGAGAGTGATGATAATGCAATTTCGTTGTCAACAGTGTTTGCAAAGCAATTTTATATCCTTTATTTTTGGTTTTTGTATAGCCTTTCTCTTTTAGATAGAAATAAAACAATAGCATATAATAGTATCCTGTTTTATTTGTATGTTTAATTCACATGTTATCCCACTTCAAAAATATTAACCTGCTTCTGAACAGATTTGTTACCTTTTGTTTCTTTTCACCTGCTTGACACCAGCATTGTTTCTCTAGTTCTCTCAGTAAAATGTGTCTCCTAACAGTTCATTGTTTCTTTAGTTCCTTGTATCTCCTAGTATTACTTTGTGTCTCTTACCTGGTTTTATCTCCTAGTACTTTGCCTCTTCTGCACATCCCATCTTCCACAATAGTGGTTCTCAACCTTCCTAATACTGTGACCCTATAATACAGTTCCTCATATTGTAGTGAACCCAGTCATAAAATCATTTCAATGTCATTTCATAACTGCAATTTTGCTACAGTTATGAATCATAATGTAAATATCTGATAATCTGGATGTCTGATATGTGACTCCAAAGGGCTGGTGACCCATGGATTGAGAATCACTGCTGTAGTATATAACTTAAATTTTGCACCTCAAAGTTTTACACAGAATGTAAAACCACGTTAACATCACAGGCAGCAGTAGGCTAGCAGGAGGCCTGACTTAACTGCTTGTCCGAAAGTTTTCCTTTGATTTCAGTTCCCAGAGTACCCAGCATTCCTACAGTGCTATAATGAACAGCCATAACTTAGCCCATTGCTTCAGATTTCAATTTGTGCTTCTTAGTCAGGCATGGTGCTTTATTGAGTTCTAGCATTTACTGCAAGCCAATTCTTACATGTGATTCTGAACTTTAAAATAAGGAGACATAGAGTTTTAGCCTCCAATTCTCGGTTTCCTTTCTACTGTATTTGTGAATATGGAAGTGTGGATCAAAAGGAATGAATTCTTTGAGCCATTTTTTTGTTTGATTGTTCGATTGCTTGTTTGTTTAACCATCCTAAGTCAGCTTGATGATCTGGTAAAACCAACTCCATTTAGTTTTATACGGAGAAGGTTAAAAGACAAAGGTTGAGGCCAAGGCGCTTCATGAAATAACTGTTCAGGAGTCACGTGGGTTCTGATAGCGGCCATGGAGGAGATGGGAACACTTGGGTAGCTATTACAGCAGTAGAGTGGTGAGCAATCGCCTCTGCGAGTGGGAAAGGAGAAGAAATAATGGGGGATACAGCAACCCTCTGCTGAAGGGAGAAATAAATCAATAGATTATTTAGAATCAAGGTGAGAATACTGTCGTAGACAGCAGAAAATAATTTTCTTTCCTTTTAAAGTAATTTTGCACGTCACACTGATGCAATGGTATATCCACTTTGAGAAAATAGCCATTGTTCCCGAACTACTGGGGTCTGTGAATCACGTTGGTATGCTTTATATTTGTAAGGTTGCTTGTGCATGGAATTTTCTTTAAAATAAATACGAACAATCTTTGACTTACTAAAAGCATCACATATTCAAACACACAGCCCCAAATTTAAATAAATATACTCTTTAAAGTTCTTAGAAAGTGGGGCTAAGAACTGGGAAGAGGAAAGCTTAAGAAAACGAGATGAAGGGTACAGAGCTCATCGATTTACAGCCTAAGATGGTCTTCTCCATTTGAGGCTTTTATTTTAGTATTGAGTTGAAATAACAGTGAAAAGGTAAATCATATTACCGAACATAAGATATTTGAAAACTTTCCCATGATTAAAACCACGTTTTTCTTCCTTAAAGAAGTGCTCACAGAAGATGGCCAACTGATCGATCGCCTCAGAGAAATCTGCTTCCTATTAATGGAACGGCTTGGCTCTGACTTGTCCTCCACATCTGCTCCCTCAGATAGGAGGGTTTCCCATTTCTGGACGATAACGCATTCAGAAGGCATGTTGAGTGACAACAGAATAGGGATGATAGAAAACTGCCACCCTTCCATGGCAGGGTGGACTCGAAGTGACAGCAGCATGGCTGTTGTAGCAGGTATTACGAAGATTATTTTTCTGTAAATGTCAAAAGAGTTCTAGCTTTCCTGGTTTGATGGTCTCTATTACAACTAGCCTATGCTGTCATTTTAGCAAGAGAGCAGCCATACTCAAAACGTAAGCAGAAAGGTAAGGCTGAGTTCTACCAAAACAAAGAGAGACAGCTGCTGTGTGGGCTGTTCTTTTTGGTTCCGTGTCTTATACTGCCTATGCAGTTTAAAGTGTTAAGTTTCTCCAAAATATCAGACATCTTGTGAATAATATGATGCAACACTTGGGGAAGGCAAAGAAGAGAGGCCAATTTAGTTCATAATTCTGGAGATTCAAGCGTCTTTTATGACATTGGTCCATCCCTGGGCTGCATCCTATCACCATGGAGACAGTGGCAAACGGAGACTTTGGAAACAAGCATGTGATGACTTTTGGAAGGGAGAAGAGAACCATTGGAGGAGACTCAGACCACACTTAAACCACAGACAGCAAATCAGTTAACCGTTACACCACTATACTAGTTATGCAGTGACACTGTCAGAAGTTTATAAACCCCAATGCTGGAAGAACATGGAGAGGAAAACCCAGACTCCTGCTTTTTAAATACTAAGTACTAACACGTGACCAAGACATAATGAACAATTATTTTCAACTCGAGAACTGGAAATGAATCATCCATATGATGGCCTTGTAGACTTTAAAAATGTTCTGTTCTCCCAGTTTATAGGTCTTAAAGTAATGTGGAAACGAGGAAAAGTCCCTAGGGAACATGAAGAAATGGAGATGACATAGGTAGAAAGTGACCACGCTGAAATTTCATCCCATGGCATACCTGTCTAGATGTCCCAAACCCACGGAATGATTGCCACCTACATTTTGTCCTTTCTAACGCTTTACTGCTAGTTGCTGAATCCAAATACTCTGACCTGAAAACAGAAGTAAGTGTCAAACATGTCAACTTTGTTACCCAAGTATCAAAGCCCGGGAAAAGTTCAGGAAATCCAGCAGAAAATTATCCCTCAAGTCTGTGACATGATCCATCACAAGGTCTGGGTTGTTTTATAATACTTTCTGGTGTCTCCAAACCCAATTACATAACACTTTGTAAGACCACAAGTGGAAAAAAGTCCCAATATATGATGTGGAGATTATATTATCTCCAGAAAAAAATAAAATGACAAATCATAGTTAAAATATATTGGGGAAAATTCCAGAAAATTTACTCTAAACTCAATTCAAGAAGCTATTTTTTTTAATTTAATAACCTCATTTAGAAAATGTAAAATTTCTTTTTATATAACTCTGTCAAATGAAAATACCATATAATGATTAGGTTTCTGCCTCACTTGGTATCACATGAATTGTTCTATTGTAAAGGGAAGTAGAACATGAATGCAGTTGATTAGATAATTTAGGTCTGACTAGTTCTAAAAGCAAAGCCAAAACCATTTTCAAAGCGACTTGGTTTCCTTTAACGATTGCCACACCACCACTGGTAGATAGCATGTCACAGAAATAAGACAAGCTTTTTTTGCTTCCACACCTACATACCTATCATATAAACAACATAAAGTGAAGTTGTCTCTAGCAGTATAGATAATACAGATGCCATGAAGCCTCTCAAACATTTTACTATTATTTGGTAATATTCCAGGTAACATGTTGTGAAAGAGTTGGTGAGTGTCCCTCCTTCTTCTCAAACAACCCATTGACAATGTCAGGGTCATGCAGCTTTTATTCAGCTGCTTTGATTTCTTCAACAAGCAGGACGAAAGTATGGAGCATAACTATTTGTTTATGTTTTAATTTTATTTAAATTAATATTATTTTACATACCAATCCCAGTTCCCTCTTCCTCTCATCCTCCTCTGCCCACCACCATCTCCCCATCCCAACCCTAATCTACTCCTCAAGGAGAGTGAAGCCTCCCATGGGAGATACCAAAATCTGTTATATCATTTGGGACAAAACCAAGACCATCCCACCTGTATCTAGGCTGAGATAGTGTCTCTCCACAGGGAATGGTCTCCAAAAATTCAGTTCATGCACTAGGGATAAATACTGGTTCCACGGCCAGAGGCCCATATATTGCCCAGGCCACCCAACTGAAACTCATGTTTAGGAGGCCTGTCTTGGTCCTATGCTGGTTCCTCAGCTGTCAGACTAGGGTCCTTGAGCTCCCACTTGCTCAGATCAACTGTTTCTGTGGGTTTTGCAACATAGTTTTGACCCCTTAACTCATCACCCCTCCCTGTGTACAACTGGATTCCAGGAATTTGGCCTCAGTACTTCAGTGCATCTCTGCTTCTACTTCTGTCGGCTATTGGATGAAGGCTCTAGAATGGCATTTAAAGCAGTCATCAATCTCATTATAGAGGAAGAGCACTTAAAGTAGCCTCTCCACTATTGCTTAGATTCTTAGGTGCTGTTGTCCTTGTGTATTCCAGGGAATTTCCCTAGTACCAGGTTTCTTGCTAACCCCATAGTGGCTGCCTTTATTAAAGTATCTCTTTCCTTCTCTTACTTACCCAACTTGACCTTCTTGTTAACAAGGGAGTTTCTCTAAAGTATTAGAAAGTCTACAACTTTTTCTTCAATTCAAACTTGCAATTTACCTTTTGAAACCAACATTTATAAGTATGATTTTATGAATACATAAACATGTAAAGACAGCAAGGAAGTTTAGTGGTCCTCCAGCATCTTCAATTTAAATATTAATAATTATTGTGGTTGCTATTAAGGTGCATTAGCTTCGTTTCTTAGCCTCAAATGAAAGTTCAGTGTTGTCACAGAAGCATGCCTCAGGCAATCACTGTCTAGAGTTCCACGAGGTCAGCTGTTTAGTTTTAGTTAAGTATATCTTCACATCTCCTTCTTAGTGGTCATTGTTTCCCTCCAGCTGGGTAGTAGACATCATCTCAAGAGGAGCAGCACTTGGCTCCTCCATGGCTGTGCAGCAGAGAGCAAGTGTCCCTGGAATGTGAAGAAGTCTTAACTTGATTACATCAAGGACTACATGTAAGCAAAAATATACATCTGTCCTCCTGAAGTTAGGTCCTAGATTAGTTTACATATATGCATATGTTATCAAATAATATATATCTATGTGAAAATATGATAAAAACAGTGATGTTGTGTAATCACATGAGATTAGTTGTGAGTATTCTCTCAGCATTGTGGCCACCAGCAATATATCTAAGGAATGTTCCTGTCGGGGGTCTGCAAACTTACTTGAACCTTGATGCTACCAGGACAGAAGACGCCATATTGGTCAGTGCGCTTGAATTCTCTTAAAGACTGTCTTCTCTTAATTTAGAATCTTTTCCATCTTTTGCCATTCCATTGAAGGCTTCTTCTTGGCATAATTGCATTTTTTTAATCTGTCTCCTGTTCATTGCTTTCAAATTGCTTTTCCTCAATCCCTCCCTGAATGTAAATTAGAGGTGCCTTCTGGGTGGTCCCACAGCAGTGTGTATTACCTACAAGGTAGCAATGACTTAAAACCGTGAAGCTGCCTATTCGTGCTCATGAGAGGAAGCATCTTACAGCTACATAGTGCACCGGGTAAGTGAAAGAGGGATGATTTTGGAAAAACTAATAAATTCCTACAATCACACCAAAATATAAAAGAAAATATTCCTTACTGTTTCGATTTTCCCTTTGCAACCCCCCTTATCTATCTTTTGGAATAGAACTCCAAAGCTTTTCCATTTTGTTTTACCTGGACTCCATCTTCTTCTTATATTTTCTCAAATAGCAAAATGTAATTTTAATATTTATTTGATTCATAAATGCATATTTATTTTTTCACTGAAATTAATGGATAAACATTTTTAACCTTATGTATTCTGTGTATATGAGTGCTCTGTCTGCATGTATGTCTGTGGCTGCTACATAGAGATGCCCAAAGAAGGTGTTGGTTAACTTAGGACTATAGTAACAGATGGTTTCAAACACCAGGTGGGTGATGGGAGTTGAGCTGCAGATCTTTCAGAGGAGCAGCCAGCATTTGATATTGGAGCTACTTCTCCAGGCCTCAAGCGGCAATGTAAAAGGGTAACTCTAGATTTCCAAACGGCAGAGAATATGAGTAGTGTAAATGACATGCGTTCTGATTTTCAGCTAAGAGGACATGATGTGGCAGAGCAAATGGGGAAATAGAGAAAATATAGTATCCTTATCACTGGAAAGACAGAATCCATTGCCTTGAACTTCCCTGATTCAGAGTCCTGGGATGATTCACAAAGGCCAGCACCCCACACGGTGCGCATTACTATCTATCCACTGTGTTATGGAGACAGAGCGGGAATTCAGTTCTTCCAGTAAGTACTTGAATTATGATTGATAAAGTGAAATTGTAACAGTGAAACTCAGAGTAAGCAGCTGGTACCGCCATCCATCTGATCAAGGAAGAGCAGCAGTGGCTGGAGGCTTGGGAAACTCCCCCTGAAGCTCGCCTTGGGAGAGAGTTACTCAGAAACAGAACAGTTAGGATAAGTGTTTCCAGGAAGGACAAAAGGACTGATGTCATTTTGTTAACAGATTTTTTTAAAGTGAAAATCCTGACTTTTAAAAACTAGCATCATTTTTATGCAATTAAAGTTTTTTCCACAATACTTTTATCATGATAACACAATACCTCCTCCGATGCAATCTGAAATAAAATGATAAAATATCATTTGTTTCTTTACTCTGGAAGCTTTGGGTGTCAGTGCTGGGATAGATCCTATATGAAATCTTTCAACTAGAGACAACAACCCTCCACCAAGATCAGGAAATCTCCAGTGAGTCATGATCCTAAAGAATTTTTGAGAGAATGGCTTATACTACTCATGTGAAAGATCATACCTGCACACAGGTCCCCTGATCAGCCCTAGAGTGGGGTCAGCAATGGCCACATCACTCATGGGGAGTCCAGCAGAGATGCCTGCCTTGGCATTGCTAATGATACTGGAAACTTTGGGATCACCATGTGTTACAGTGAACACTTGGGGATCTCTCTTTTAAGTTCTCATTCTTGTTAATTGAAGTTTTCAAAAGAGACTAAAAAATGAAGACCAACGATGAATTTAAAGAATTCAAGTGAGAAACAACAGGCAAGACAAGCTGTCAGTCATCACAGATGCTTATAAGAAGGAAAGAAAAAAGATAAAATCATGACTTTTGTTCACAGCCGCAAGGTAGAAGGGGGCTTTTGCGAAGGACGCAGGAACTCCAGATTGCCTGGGAAAGCATGATGAGACTTCCAAAAGATAGCAAAAAGTCAAGGTAAGCTTTGTTAAGTTACCCACAAATCAGGCTGACTTACTAGTTACGTAGCAGAGGCTTTGTAAGCAACTGCATTCACAGACATTTCTGGGAAGATAAGTGCCTGTCTCACTAGTAGGATAATTATTCCACCCAACTCCTTTTAAGTGAATCAGCCTTCCTGGAGGGTGGACTTTTGGTGCCCCCTCCCACCAATCCAGCTGAATTAACTCTCAAAATGAGAGACGATATTGTGTAAACTCCATTGTGTAGATGCCATTCTTTTGACCAGAAGAAAAGTTTCCTCTTAATGAGCTGCATTACAACTGTGACTGCGGTGATGGCTTGCACAACTCTGATAGTCCTTCTTCAATCATTGAGATACAAAAATCTTCTAGGAGATAATATGAAATTGAGAAACATAGAGACCTGGCTCCAAAGCTGTTTACCAGAAGGGATGAGTGTCTGAACTGGAATTGTGGTCACACCCTCATGTATAGTATAAAAGCACTGTTTCATCTAGGAGACGAGAGATAAGAATCAGAGCCAACTTCTGGTATGGACACTTTAGCTTCTAGCCAAGGTAAAGTGTTATAACTATGCACTTTCAGGGCCTGTTTTACCTAAATTGTACAGCCCATTTCTATCTCCTGTCCTCACCACTATGCTCCCTTCTGCTAGTCCAGGTCATTCCTGGACTGCAGAGTTCTTAAGACCGTATCTACCTAGCTCCTAATGACGAGACAGTACCATCAACACAGAGACACATTTGTCTCTGTTTCAGTTTAGCAGATAAATGATGCCAAATGACCTTCTCCATCCAGACCCTCCTTAGCAATCAAGGTACCATCAAAGCTTGGTCTGTCAGGACAAGTGGAAGACCTTCGGTCATCCAACTAAAAGCATCAATGACTCCTAACTCTAATACCACTAATTATATTCCTGATGTTCAAATAAGATCACTTGCCATGTAAAAGAGGCAAAGATTTTCTGCCATTTTGTGAGCATTTGAGCTGTATAATAGCAGTGAATCCCAGACTGCAGTTTGTAAGGTACATTTTAGCATCTAATAGATTCCATATATCATAGTTACCATTTCAATGGTGATAGGGATGTAGAGTAAATATCAATCTCTCTGTTCAATTAGTGTAAACAGAATTGTTTCCAGAAGGTGAACAAGTTTCCATACAGCTGTCTCACCCTGTGTCAAAAGCAAAGGCAAAAGCAAAGTCCGTAGTGACAGACTTGGCACCATTTCAGATGTGTCCCCTTTAACCTTTCAATTATGGAAGAATAACAAGAGGTTTAGGGCAAAGATATTTGTAATTAACTCAAGTAATATAAAAGTAATCCAGGCAAAGAAGAACCTGAACAAGAACCTTTTCCAACTAAACAAGTAAATGGATGATCTTCATAGCAAAGCTCACCAGGGGCGGAAGTGATGGTTCAACAATTGACAATCGCCATTGTTTCAGAGGACTGAGGATTGATTCCTACTGCCCTCATTATACGGCTATAACCTAAAGCCTGGCTCCAGGGGATCCAATGCACTTTTCTAGCCTCCATTGGTCATCTGAACATGTCACACACACATACAAACATACATACATACATACATACATACATACATACATACATACACAAAAATGATGATATAGAGTCCCAAAAATAAACTGGGCATGTAGTACATTTTTTTAATCTCAGCAATCTGAAGACAGGGAGATCTCTGAGTTCCAGACCACCCCAGGCTGTACAGCAAGACCCTTTTTGCAATGAAAAAGAAAAGAAAGTCCAACAAACATGGAGAATTAAAAAAAGTCTTAGTAGTTTGTAGAGAATCTGGAATGCATTCGGACATTTATGCTTCTACCCCAACGAAGCCTGAACACTGATTACATAGCTAAATAAGCCAGCAGCTGTAGGTGGCTGAGGACACAGGTAGGAAGCAGTGTTGAGGATGAGAGTAGGCAGTTGATATGTGCATCAATGATTATTATTTCTGAAACATAAAGCTTCCATAATGTTCCATGACCTTAAGAAACAACTTTCCTCTGGCCTTAAGAACTCAGCACAAACAGAAGAACATAGTGACATACTTTTATTACCCTGTAGTTGTGGGGACCAGAGGTCTACCTTGCTCACATAAAATAAAATGCTAAAAGGCCACATTTTAATTGCTTGTGTATTTTGTGGCCACAGTCTCCATCTCCAAATCCTGTGACATGTGGCTGAGTTCTTAGCAGTCTGCATTCCTAATTCTTCCTTCTTGTATTCTTAAGAAACAAAGCTACTTACCTCAAGCCACCTGAATCTCTAGGATGGCCACCTTATGATCAGCTGATGGTAAAACTACCATCTGTAGCCTTGTTCCCAATAAATTGCTAAATTCGTAGACGAGGCTGTGGAAGGTAGAAATCTGTGAAGCAGAAATATTTTTATACATGGCACACATGTTACCTGTTACTCTCTGTTCCATAAAACTGTGGGTTGGTTCACTCCTTCCAGCACAACACTTTATAGGCTCTTGTCTGGCACTCTGCTTGGAACTGTTCTTCTGACCCGATGTTATCCTACATCTGAGCCCAGCAGACCCCCATTTAAACACATCATATAGATCATATGATTTCATGCCTTCCTCTCTTGCATTTGCAGGAGACATAACTTTTCTGCAACCTCAAAAGAAGCCAAAGTACAACCTGCCCCAGTATGAGTTTTGTTTCATTTCCTTTCCCCATTTATCCAAAAATATCATTTATTCACGTCAATGTTACCAGCGTCACCTACATGACACGCATGCTCCAGAGATCTTCCAGAAAGACACCAGTTGTCTAGAGTTCATTTTCATCTCCGCTGTACATTACTATAAGAAATCTCATAGTAAGGAATCTGTGAAAAGGGAAGCAATGTGTTTCTACTCTCGGGAACAAATTCCTGAAACAACACAGCAGGTATGCAAAGACAGTCTTTTTCATTTCAACCCCATGTCAAGCTGAACAGCCTAACTGCAGTGTCTTGTTATCCATTTTCCAATATACAGCACATCTCAGTTGTGAGAGACAACACAGTTCATTGCTAAACGGAATAATAAATCTGGATGAGCTGTCACAGATTGCCCAGAGGACGCAGAGGAATAAGATGTAGCCGGGGAGGGGACAGAATGACAAAGGAACATGAGTAAAGAGACATCGTGGAAGTCATCAAGCAAATCGTAGAAGGGAATGCACGTGCTTATATGTATTATTTCATGGGGACCTAAGCCAAAGTATTCAGCAGGATGGGCACGTCACCAAATATTTCCTGTTTCCCTGATGGACATTGTAATATATGTTATTCAGCACATTCTTTTTAGAGAAACTCTTTTTAGCTATTTTAGAATATAGATTTTGAAATAAAACATGCTTTTTTTTGAAGGAAAAGGATGTGAGCATGAAGTTCACATTTATATATTGACAAAATATTATCATATATTTAAAACCTTAAATTAAGTCCATCTACCTGGTTTAAGATGGAAAGAGTGCAACAGAGTGAAAACCTGAAGCCAGGTTCAAAGTTCGTTACAAATTTCAATGTTCGTCAAAGTGACCCTGGGACCCTCCCGTGGAACGGGTCTGGATGACTGGGCAGGTTATATGGCTAGAAAGCTGAGGCTTCATTGCTTTTCTAGAAAGATATTTTTAGGCATGAATAAAATGAAAAATAAAAATGTACACTAAACCTTTACAGCTTTCATCCTACCCCCTGACTATGTGGAATTCACATTTGGAGTTCAAATGAATGGGTTTAAATTCGGTGTCTTATCATCTAATAGCTATTTGAACCTGGGATCTGACCCAGCCTCTGTTTCATAGAAAGGTAACAATAACAGGATCAGCCTGGCAGGATTTGGGGAGGATTAAAGACAGTAAGATAAGCAACGTAGTCAAAGAGTTCCTGACACACACTCAGGATGTTTTAAACTTTAACTGTTATTTATTGTTCCTAATTATGAAAAGAATAACTCACCCTTTATGTGACTTGCCTGCCATTTCACAGCTAGGGTGCACCAGAGAATGAATGTCTCAGACTATAATTCTTTCCATAACACTAACATCATAAAGCAGTTCATAGTAAAACTCATCCTTCCAAAACAGGCTAGGAGAAGGAACCCCTCAACTGAACATTTGAACTAAGACTCCAAGGTAAGCAATTTAGCTCTGCTCAAGTCTTCACTCATGCTGCCTGTCACCACGTAACAATGAGTGTCAGCCTCATGGTGCAAGACACTGCACCACACAGACTTCAAGACGAAAGGGTATAGTGACATGTAATCCATGCGGAAGTAGATGTTACAGCTTCCTGGGATAAAAAGCTTTGTGAGCCGCCTTCTGAAGGCATCAGATAATCAAGGGCAGGGAAGCAACATGTAACTGGACAGATCAGGGCACTAATCAGGCAGGATGGGTACATGGTCTGGGCCTCTATAGCAGGACAGACATAGCTGAAGTAGGAAACATCTAGATAGGAGAGCATTCTAATGGAAACAATGGAAGAAATGAACTGTGCAACTTGACACATCGTAATGACAGCACAAATAGTTTTAAAACTATCTGAACGTAATAAACTATATTCCAAATAATACACTCAATTATTTAAGAAAAACTGTTGTAGGCAAGACCTAAAGTATCACACAAAGCTGGATAAATGATTTCAAGGCCACTTGCTTAATGATTTACGTGGTGGAAACCCCCAAAATTGATTGGATTCAAATTGCTAAGAATAAAGATGGAGTCTGAAATGGGGTCAGAAGTTGGTGAGCGTGAAATGCTGAGTGAACTTTGGTTCATAGCAAAGACATTGGTATAGGCACCATGAATAAGAAAGAGAAGAGACAACATTAAGTAGACCCTTGAAACAACTGTTGGGGTACAGAGGGGAAGACGGGATGAATGAAGTGAAGACATAAGAAATGCAGTAAGTCCAGACAATGGGTAAAATCATTTCTGTGACAAGATCATGAGAGCAGGAACAGAAAGGATGAATGGGGAAAGGAACAACAAAAATTACTGAAAATGGTTTAATTATAGTAATGAAAGGAATGTCTCTTTAGAATAACTGGAGTTCACTTGGCTGTTTTTCATTTCCTTTTGTTAAGATTGTCTCAGGACTGGCATCTCCAGTGGTTAACTGGGCAATACCATCACTGCTATCTACAACCACCGGTACAGGAGAGCAAGGGAGGTAACAGACATTTGAACACATTCTTCACTGGGGCAGGAGTGAAAGGTGTGGCAGAGGAATGTCTTGTGTGTGTCATAAACCTCGGCAGTATTGTCTAGGAGAGAGTCTCAACCCTAGACTTGAAATAGAGGAATGAAAACGATTCAGTTTGGTGTGCTGTTTTAACTCTACAGAAACTTTCAAATGAGGGTGGCTGAACATATTCATCTCCCAATTAGCATGCTAACCAACTATACACATTGTATAAAAATGAAATGAGCAAGAACATCACTTTACACTAATGTGTAAGTAAATATAAAAATGTCCCATGCCTAAAATATATTTCCATGATTGAGATATGTCTTATCAATTCTCTTTTTTTATCAGTTGCCTCATGATCAATGATGTCCTCTTGAGCCATATTCTCAGTATCTTTAAAGAATAGTTTTAAAGTTTTCTAAATTAGATTCCATGGTATGATAAGTTAAACTTTACTCTAGTTAGAAGCACTCACTCATAATTTTTACAATTATTTGGAAGGTATATAAAATGTGTACTATTCGTTTTGGTAGAAGTGATCTTACATTGCTTTTGTTTAAATAAGATAAAATACAACTATGAGATTCACCCAAGAAAAACTACATAATTGGACCATTTTAAAACACTGATTCTACTGTTTTCTTATCTATCCAATTAGCATTGATGAAGGTTATCCCACAACCATTGTTCAAAAAAAATAATTGAAAGACCATATATTATATGACAGATGATGGAAATATTAAATTCTCATGAATCCTTATTGAAGTTTTCAGTGGTGAAAAGTGCTTGTAGTTTGAGATAAATTATAACGAAACACTGTTGTCTAAATTTTAAAAACTTGCTTCTCAAGCTAAACAATTTAACTCAAACTGGGAAACTTCCAGCTTGCTTCTTCCGACTGCTTGGCTCCTCTTTGACAGCTTTCTATCTATTGTGGCTAAGATAAAGACTTGCCCCACCTACGACATGGAGATTAGCAACCAGGTCAACTGTTCATGCAGGCAAGCACCACTGAAAATGTGAGAACTCCTATTTTAGCATCATGAAGGATTCAATGTGAAGACAACAGAACATGGCACCGCATTATAGGCTCCTCTGAGGAGAGGCATTTTCAAAAATGCCAGCTACAGTCCTTCAGCCACCAAGGCTCTTCTGACAGGGACTAGATTAAGCAAAGGAGGCTCAAACTCTTGGCCCACTTTCTCAGTTTGCAGCCGAAAAAGGAGCTTTACAATAAACATAGCACGTAACACTCACCTGAAGGGTCCAGGAGAGATTTTCTGTATTTTTATGGCATTCCCCACTTCATTGGTGTCAGTAAGCTACTGTAGGATGAGGGAGGAAAATAAGGCAGGCAGAGAGGAAGATGGGGAAGTGAATTCAAAGTAACAATATCACATTACCATTCATTCCACATTTCAAAGGTGAAAGGCAGCCAGAACTTCTTGTAGAGACTATTGGGAGAAAATAATGAAGAACTGATGTCTTATTGATGTTTTGTTTTTGATTTTTGTGCAAAGAACAAACAAGAATCTGTTTGCCTCTATGGACGCCGATGAAATCAGATCATCTGTGATTAGTTATTTACCTACACTACTCATGTGACTCTTCACAAGGAAACTTTAAGTTGCTGTGATCAAAATCCCCATTCCATAATGGAGCCTTTAAATTACAGAGGGCTTTCACAAATGGGGAAAATAGCCAATATTATAGATTCTGAAAAACAGCTCTGTCGAGCTAATGAAGAGAGAAGGAGTACCTCCTGGCTGATGCGGAACTGACAAGCCTTGCTTCAGAGATAAAAGATCAAAATGGAACTGAACTGGGGGTGGGTGTAGGGAATGGACTCCTCTAATGAATTATTTGTATGCAGCCTTAATTTTACACCGCCTAAAATTAGTTTTAAAAGGCAGCAGAACATATGAACTGTTCCCTCTCACAATGATTCGGGTTCTGTTAATGTATATTACTGGCAAGGGTGCACGTATGCAGGACCACTTGCTGAAGTCCATTCTCTCCCACACACTGTGTGGGACCCAGAACTGCAACTCAAGCCCTTGGGCTAGACCATAAACGCCTTTTCCTGACAAACAATATTGTTGGCTATGAACTCAATGGTTTCGCCAAAGCCTTAAAACATTCTACAGCTAAAGCAAAATGCACTGCAGGAGTTCACAGAGT